AACCATCACTATTATATTTACAATCATGAGAGTTACTCAGTTGAAACGTTATCAGCGCTTCATCAACAGACGACGGGTGACAAAATCCTTCAAACGCTCAGTTCTGTGAATTCGAGCGATCCAGAGATTCAACAATTCAATCTTCGGAGACTTCTAGCAAATCCCGAAGATGGAAAAGTCTCAACGCAAGAGGAAGATGAAAATCGATTTGGAATTCTTCGGCAATTTCGGTTTGATTTGGGACTTCGTTGGAGTTTATTTTTGTGGACTTTGGCAGTTCTATGGCTTCTTGAAGTGATTCACAATTTGGTGCAATTCATGATTTCCTTTATTGCAGCAATTTGGTATTTCACTGTAGTAAGTTGCATTAAGAGCTTAGATAACAAAGTTGATAATTTAGATAACAAAGTTGATAATTTAGATGACAAAGATGATAATTTAAAACAAAGATGATAATTTAGATAACAAAGTTAATAATCAATTAGATAGCAAAGATGCTTTCGCGAATGAATTTCATCGTTCATCTGTTTAATTCTTTAATTTTTGTTCAGCCCGACATTCAAGGTAAACGAGACGATGGTGGATTAACAGGAGCGGGTTGTCTCTGGATGGCTCTACGTTATCATTTTGGGACATTACAGTTATCAGCGTTTATTTTATCAACATTTCGATGGATACAGTTTGGTGCATGGGCATGTCGGCAGCGTGTTAAAGCTTTCGGTACAAGAAACATGTCCCAATATCTTGTAATTTTTCTGAGGTTCGTGTTTGAGTGTTTTGAAATCCCAAATGACGACTTCTCCGTCCTTGTGTCTGTCTTTGCACAGTTGTCTGCAAGGGATCCTCCAATCGCTCGAGGATACTGCGCGCTTCCTCAATACTGGAGGGTTGATCGAATGCGTCATCCATTCAGATGATTTCTTTCCCTCATGTCGACGATCGTGGGGCTTGAATCGCCAGCAAGTCCCATCTGTCATTATTCTGGGTCGAGTCAGTTCAGCATTGTCCCTGCTGAATAGCATTGGCCTTGCCTCAACGATGGGTGGCCTCGTTCTCTATATAACGAATCATTTTACCATTTTCCATAATCCTTCGTCCAACTGGTGAGTCTCAATCAATGATACGATAAATGGTCTTCTGTACCATGAACTACCACCACCACCAAGATGAGTTCAATGTTAACTGCTGCTAATTATCAGTTATTAATGTTATGAATTATACGCTACTTTCAATCTTAACCACCTCTTTCAAATTAAACAGGTTTGTTGACAGCCCGTTTGGTTTAGCAGCAGCTACTTTCGGTCTCGTCACTGTCATTACAAAACTCGTCGTATTCAGTTTTGATCAGCTCTCCTGTAAGTAGTTCACCCTTATAGCCTGGAGTCAGCACAGGGCCACCCATCCTGACAATTACTTCATACGCGTGGTTCTTCTTGCCTCCATTGTCTTGTTTTCAGCGACGCTTCTGTATTGCTTCCTTGTGGAATCGCAAAATCAATCTGGCGTCGTCATTTTCGCGCCAGATGAACTTCGCATTTTGATTGAAGAACACGAATCTGAACGACGATTAGAAGAATTACAGCGCGCAGTCCCAGAGCGGTCAATTTTGTCCTTATCTATGATTGCAGCATCTCGTGGTCCTGAAACCCTTGATCAGCTTCTATTGAGCAACACGAAGGGAGATGAAGCAGGTTGGAAGGAGACCATCCAACAATTTCGAGATGAGACTGGTTTGTATCAAGAAGCAGATGACCCAAGAACTGAGAGAGAATCTGGTGATGGGCAGAGCGTCCGAACACTCGCTCGTCAACAGCAGCCATCAAATTGTATTGAAATGGAAATGAATGATGCCCGTTGGTAGTTTTTCGTTTTTAACTTCTCTGGATAAAGACGTCTGTTTTTTGTGAAGAACAACAATTCACAATTTTAGATCCTCACTTCTTTACATACATAAATGGTTGTTGATTTTCATCTTGCTGCCAAGGTTGGGGTCTCTTGATTGTTAGGATTGTCGTCCAGAGATGAAGTTTGAGACAGATAACTGCAAGGATTCAGGATTGCGCCAGAACAGCTCAACTAATCCACATGTTTTTTTTAGGACTTAGTAATGTGTTGCTAGCTCGTCGCAAACGTGCCACCCTGACTCGCTTGTTCATTAAATTGACAAGCGCAGCACTGACAGGTACGACAATTCTGAGTCATAAAAGTCTTTTGAAGAAGGACGTTCGATTTTCATACCGAAAGTTTGATGCAGCGGTTGGCCGTCACGTGTAAGTGGAAGGTCTTGTGATTATTAGGACGGCAGAAGAGTTAGAATATGGTTATAAATTATGAATTTGGGAAACCTCATCTCATCATGTTCATTGTATCAATAGATCAATCGTCAATTCCTTTTGTCATCCAGAATCTACTACGAGACGCGAGTTCCGAAATTCGTTGAAATAGACAAAACAAAGCGCTTATGGCGAAATCGGTTTATTCGATTTACTGGACGTGGAATTCGTCCTCTCGTGAAGCTTGTGCGTGCGGACTACAATAAAGGCCATTATAACAAATACTTCAATATGCACTACAATCAGCTGACGGATAATGCGGGAAGGTAAGAAGCTAAATCACTGGTAGTAGAGGCTGTGATGGTAGTAGAGGCTGTGATGGTAGTAGAGGCTGTGATGGTAGTAGAGGCTGTGCTGGTGGTCCGTGCTGAAATCTTAAGAAGAGATTGATGGTTCACATATCTTCATTACTCTCATCTATATTCCATTACTCGGACATGAATTTGGGACATGAATTTGGGACATGAATTTGGGGCATGAATTTGAGATTCAACAATCTGTTTTGAATTGCAGGAGCAGACCGTTCTATTAAATTTTTAGTCTTAATCTTTTTTGAAGATTTAGAAAAAACTGGTTATAGAAAATGGAACTGGTTATCTCTTGGTGCAAAGTTGAGATTGCCAGCCGTCAACGTACGTCGGCCCGCACGCATTGGTTTTGGGATTGCACGTCGCTCCATTAGAAGACGCTGTACATCCTGAAAATAGCCCGTTGCAATATTTGTCGGTTTGGCACCAGTTTGCGTTGTTCATGTCTGGAATAGTTGCACCGATGCGAGCCGCTGATGTTAAGAAATACGAAATGCGCCACAATGGACTGTCGCTCTACACACATCAGGAGTCGTCATCACCGAATTCATTTCTATTAACTTACTCCTGACGGACACTCAATCCCTCCATTGATGACATTTGTGGACAATCCTAATCCGGCAACCCGATCATAATCCTTTCCATCTCGATACATCTCGTTCATTTTCCCATCAGTCCAATGAACAATCGCATCGCGTGTTCGGAGACTTCCAGCGATTGGAGCTCCGCTTGTGAAATCTCGGGGAGTCATCCAGAACCAAAACTTTGCAATGAATCCCATTGGACCCTCCGGATCGATTTTATCTGGATCGTCAAGAAGAACCATTTTATCTCCATAAAACCATTGCGAAAATGGACCATAATTATAGTTCCAACTTATTTGAACGGGACCTCGACCATGATAATATCGACTCTTTCCGCATGGCCACTCAACGTTAGTGCAATCAGAATAAGCGGTTGAAGGTGTTTCTTCCCACACTTGCAGTCGCGCCGTTTCCTTCATCTGATGAGCGAAAAATGCGGCCAGCTCAAGCAAGTCGATCTGCCTATCCCCCGAGTTTGCAAAATCCGTAATAAAATAACCGGGGGCTCCAGAAACGAGTCCTTCGAACTTCTTGTTCATTGTCTCAAGAATTTCAATTGCACAGACAACGAGTTCGTAAACAGCAGCAGCTGCATCGCACCCCTTCAGGTTCCATGATTTCGTTAGCCACGGCAAATCATCGTTTGTGGTTTGAACCATCTTATACAGGATTGTTGGACTCGTAATCAATTGCTCAAATCGAGTTCTTCCACTTGGAATCCAATTCGGACCGAAGCGGCTCCCATACTGATTGTTGTAACAACTGGGCCCTTTGAAGGTCGGCCTTTGCTTTCCTAGAGTGTTCTCTGGGCATGTTTGGCTGCACCCGGTTCCACCTGACGAACGTGGCATCACGCAAGCAGCGGCAACAAGAGAGTTTTGTATAGCGACTGAATACCCCTCTAGCCGTCATTGGATGTGCACGTACCTCCTGCTGAGCCTTCACACAATTGTTGGGTTGCAGAACAAGCCGTCCATCCGAATTGGGGACATTGGCCAGCAGTGGGATTCGGACAGACCGAACAAGTAGACGTTGACCTATAGAGTGGGATTTCATAGTCGATTAGAGTTCTATTACTCACCAATTGATTGGGGCCCAACATTGACCAGAACCTCCGCTTGGGGTTGTCGTTGATGGAGGTGTCGTTGTTGCCATTATAGTTGTCGTTGCGGTTGTAGTCATTGCCGTTGTAGTCGTCGTTGCCATTGTGCTCGTCGTTGTTACCCCAGGTGTCGATGATGGGGCCTGCGCGGTGAGAGACCATGCAAATGAGTTTCTCAAAAAACGCGTACTTGAGGTGGGGTGGTGGTGACCCCTTCAGCTTCTTTGCAATGGGCATGAAAATACGTTAGAATCCATTGGACTGTCGTGGTGTCACAATTTGGGGCCCCACTTGATAAGCAAGATTCTATAGAGAAAAAAAATTACTCTCAGCGGTTAAAAGAGAATTGAACTGGTTCCTCACCTGTCGCATGCTCACAGGCAGTTGTTTGACACCAATGACTAACAAGAGGGAAGGATTATCAAGGAAGTGGTAAGCGCTAAAATAACTATTCTTTTTCTGTAATAACAGACTATTAAGGGAGATCTCACGTCCATTCGGGTTGGATTCCGACAACGTGCTGACATTTCAGATCTGGGAGTCCATGCACTTGGACACAACGCCCATGCTTGATGTAGTTGTCTTCCATACACCATGACGGAATGGAATGTTCAGCACAGTAGGATGCGCACGCTGTATCGATGCAAAAATCAGTTGAAAAAATCCCACCGGCGTAATTCGTGCAACAGAAAGAAAATGCGGAAGGAACTGAGGATGGGAAGACAAATGTATAATCATCAATTAAACATCATAGCAATCATTGCAGCAGGGGTCATCAATTAAACACGGACAGTAGGTGTTTCATAGCAGCAATTCATTGATGGCTTACAGAAAGTCAGAGGTCCCAAAATGATAAAAAAGATCTTCATTGGAATGTTGAAAGATGAAAGATATAAATTATAACGAAAACAGAGAAGATCAAATGATATAATCATTGACGTTGCATGCAAATGGTGACAATTGTTAACGACGGCGCAAGGCCATTCTATGGCTTTCGCGGATGTAAAAATTGGCCAAATGATGAAAACGCTGTTCATCAAGAAATTCAAGCCACCCTGTAACACATCGATATATCGTGCGAAAAATGCGACCAGTGAATATTTCAAGTGTCACATCGCGAGATATTAAGAGAACGAGAAAAACTGATTCCGACAGTCGAGCTGAAAGCGGCATCATGTAATAGTGGAAGACTGTACTAAGAACTGGGACTATACTGATAGGAAATAAACGCATGCAAACAGGCGACCCACAAGACTCTCCCTTGGACTAGCATGACAAAAAAGGTGTCTGCAGAACTTTTGTGCAAGCTATTTGCGATCGTCTATCGATCGTATATCCACTCTAAGGGGTAATGCGATGCACTGATTTGACGACATGGAAGTCAATTTTGAAGAAGCACATGAATGCCAATTTTATTGCGACTTCGGTCTTTGAACCAACACTTCAAAAAGAACGCTAATATGGACAGTTTCAATCAAAGTTCAAACTGGGGTTGCAACAAGTGCTAAGATGTGAAGAAATACAACAAGTCCACGCAGGCCATCACGCGTTTCTTTTCGTTTGCACTATCATCATCTCACCCTAACCTTTTTCATATTTCTCTCGTTGTGAAAATTTGGGTTATCACATATCTATACAAAAGACGAGCTCAACAGCAGATGCTACGTGAATAGATCAAACAATTCAATTACAATCACAGAACAGGAATAAAGAATTGTTCGCTCCTTGATGCCGAAGCAAGAACCTTAATACGACGTTTGAAATCGATACGAACGCTGAAAAACAAAAATTTCTCCTTCCAAGACAGCGACTTACGTTTCTGGCCTCGTCATGATAAAAAATTCCCCATCAACTTGAAAGTATACGCGTATATCCTGCTTTTGAGATGCAGGGGCTAGTGAAGCCAAGTCCTTAAATGTGAGTTCAAACGGGCCTTTCCCCGAGCAAATGCGCTTCCCGCGACCGTGAAAAGCCTAACGAAAGATGTTTGAACGCGTCTATGATAGTCTAAAGGTGTTGCTCTGTTTTCTGAGAATCTCCACCAGCAGAATAGCTCAAGCTCTTCTGTCGGCATCTATCTGTATGGCGAATACTCTCTCATCGATTATATGATCATGACCAAACTGTTCAGCATCTCACAGTTATGGTTATTCTTTGCTGTTCTCCTTCTCATGGACTATCTTATCTCACACCCTCTCCCATTGTTGGTACTACTATTACCACCCAGGTTATATTGTATCAAACTTGGTTATGGGGGCGGCCTGCTAAGTCTATCACTTACGCGTTCAATCCCCATCGCAACCACTCCAGAAAAAGCTATGAACTCAACTTCCCCATCGCCTAATTTCTGTTGATGTTGGGTTGATTCCGGAGGTGGTTTGACCCCAATATTCTTGGTTGTCCCCCATAAATCGAGACCAGCAGCAAAGCTTGGAATATTTGAAACAATAAGAGATTTCATTCCTGAATAGAACGATTTCCTGTTTCTGATTTACTCATCGCCACAACAGATTTGTTGCTACCACGGACATGAACAGTTGCTGCTTACCAGGAGCAAGCTTCGGTTCTGCACTGGTGGAGAAAAGAACCTGCTCTGCATAAAACTTTGAAAACATTGATCGAAATATTGAACGTACTGTTTCTACCATGTCCTTCTATCAAAGTATCTGTGATGTCATTAATCTTTTGGGTTGGCTTAAAAAACGCCTTCTTGCCACCCTCAATTCCGTACATCTGAAGAACAAAGACCCGAAGAATCAAAACATCTCTCTTGACCGAAGAGGAACTCCTCTGTCGTCTCAGCAAATGTCTGGAGGGCCAATCCCGACAACTTTTTTTTAAACTCACCATCTTGTTGAAAAATTGACTCTTTGTTCTGTGGCGATCGAATCCAATTCCAACTCTTGATTCAATTCCACAACTGAAATAATTACACATTTTTAAGCGAAGTATTTTGTTATCTAAATGAGTCGGTGGTTCTCCAAGAGCCTCAAATGTAGAAATCGTCTTCGTTAAGACTTCTTCTCTAATAACGGGAAGAATTCCAGTCACAGGCTTCTATGGAACGGAGAGATCAATTGAACATTCAAGCAATCATGATGGAACAATTGAGAACAGATGGAATAACAACGCTAGCCACAATTATGAAACAGCCAGGCAGAATAGAAACAAGGGATTAACGTGAATTCGTTGTCTCACTTTTCTTCTTGTCGATGCGTCAATCTTCTGAAACGTCCCTTCTGGTTGAACTTTCAGCGACACCTCCCAAATATCATGCCAAACAATCTTCGCTTGTAACCATTCCCGTACAAGTTCCTTCAACACCTTGAATTTATTGTCGTAAGGTCGAGCCGCATTGAACTTCTGCCAACCGAGGGCTCTTGCAAAATCGTTTCCTACCAAGAAATGATAAGAATGTCAAGCGACTGTTGTGTGTCTTTTTGTCCCTACGCGCGCGACGCACCTGTTCCGTACGGAACCACTCCGAGTGCAATTCTGTCGTCATCGATCCCATGCACCCACATCTCAGTCACGCACCACATGACGGTTCCGTCCCCACCAGCGACAATGACGTAGACGACTTCGTCTCGCGGTTTACTTTCGGTGTTTTGCTCTTTCGACAATTTCAGATTAAGAGCATCGACAAGTTTCTTTAGCTTGTAGAACCCTGGCTTTTTCCCGCTACTCCCTTGTCTGATGTCCCAAATCCATAAATTCACGGGCTCCGAAACCGTCAGTCTTATGTGTTCCAAACCCGCTTCCATGAAAGCGGCAGCTTGATTTCCACCGCTCATCGGATTTACAAACAAGAACACATTTTTTGCAGGATCTACAGTCAAATCTTCTACTTGCTGTGCAAGTTCCAGTGGCGCCAGATGTGGCAACGCTAGCCGGTCCATTGCTGCCTCAAGCGAGGCTTCTGAAGGCTCACGCAGTCTACTACGCCTGGTTTCCGTCTCCTCACGAATCTGCGTTTCCACGCCGTTCACGAGAAGCTGCACCGAGGAGGAAACAGAACTAAGCGTTTGAGCATAGAAGCCTGATGGAGTTTCCTGGCTGCTACTGCTCACTGGCGAAGATTTTAAAATAAGATCGGAATCTGAATTTGATAACATATCAAACAAAAAAAGAGAATAAAAATCACACAGTGATGGTCCAGTGTTGCGTGACGATGATGATTAGGACTAAAATCTGTTGAAGGAGTATAGATCGTAATCCCACAGCTTCGTTGTCATCAATTCTATTGAACCTTTTTGATCTCTCTTTGTCATCGAGGAGTCGAGCTTCTTTTAACTCTTTTTTCACATTTTCGTTTGAACAGTTCATTTAGTCCCCCCCCCCATTTGAAATCGCTTCTCCAACTTGTCTTTGTTTAATTTTTGACAATCGTAAAATTTAACGCTGGAGTGACCCTTCAATTCCTTCGTTAGTCTTTATATCTGTCCATCATGCCTTCTCTTATCAAAGAAGATGTTCCAACTGCCCCACAGTTGACTGTTCCAAATAAGCAATCGATTGTCCCAAATAACCAATCGATTGCCCCAACTGACCCGCTTGTCCCAACTAAGCAGTTGATTTGTGGCACCCTCGATACCACACAAGTCTCCAGTGATTCTCTTCTCTCACTTCTTGATGAAACGCAACATGACTCTTCTTTCTCATATCAACAGTGCGATGTCTCTCAGCTTCAAGCATCAGGCCTGAATCACATGTTAGATGAGTCGTTGCTCTCTGCCCTTGAGTCTATTCCTATTGAATTGCTTAGCGCTTCAACGAGTGCAGGCATCGGTGGTGATAAGACTCGACAGACTTCTGATATTGAACCCATCAGTAGTGAAGACCCCTCTTCTCTAAGCCCTTCCATTCTGCTTCAAACTCTGATTTCTTCCATTTTGGCAAACGGAATTAGAGGAACGATCGAGAAAGGTGTGAATGCGGCAACAGTTCGTGCAACAAATGCGGCTGCACTGTTTCGTGATTCGCTTCCCTTTCGGTCGCCTGAACAAGAGATGATCATGAATTCGTCAGATGTCCCAACCGAGGGCGCATCTGATCTCGTTGACCCATGGAAAACAGTTGCAGAAAATCGAGAGAATGAAGTTCCACCAACACTCCTGCATCATGAGATGGATCCCTACCAGTATCCATCCCTCCTCCAATCTTCGGAACCCGAAGCTCTTCGTGGGCTCGTGGAAAGTGCTGTTGAGACTGTGATTGGAGTCTTGGTCAATTCACGCGCCGGAGTTGGATTTTCAAATGCTGCGGTGGTTTTTTGGCACATATTTCAAACAGCTTTGAACGAGATGGGACGTCTGCAGACAACTATTTCGAACATGCGATCAACAATTGGCGTTCTAACCGAACGGTTAGAGAGAACGACGGCGGGATTGAGAGAAGCCCAAAAAGAGCTTTGTGACGTCGTCGAGGCGAAATTGAAGGTAGGCTTCTGCAATTTCATCTCACTCCCATCTATCTCATTCCCATCTATCTCATTCCCATCTATCTCATTCCCATCTATCTCATTCCCATCTATCTCATTCCCATCTATCTCATTCCCATCTATCTCATTCCCATCTATCTCATTCCCATCTATCTCATTCCCATCTATCTCATTCCCATCTATCTCATTCCCATCTATCTCATTCCCATCTATCTCATTCCCATCTATCTCATTCCCATCTATCTCATTCCCATCTATCTCATTCCCATCTATCTCATTCCCATCTATCTCATTCCCATCTATCTCATTCCCATCTATCTCATTCCCATCTATCTCATTCCCATCTATCTCATTCCCATCTATCTCATTCCCATCTATCTCATTCCCATCTATCTCATTCCCATCTATCTCATTCCCATCTATCTCATTCCCATCTATCTCATTCCCTCCTTCTTTGTCACGAACTACCTTCTTTCTGTCGGACTTAATGTTCCATTCCTTTTCAGATGCAGGAGGTTCTTCAATTCATGCGTTCAGATGCAAGTTCGTCTTCTGCTCATTTCTCAAAATCTTGCAGTGATGGACAGCTTTTACAACAAACAACTTCACGCATTGATCCGCATCGTGCATTACATCCTCCTGCCTTCATTCCTCCACCTCCGCCACCACCAGAACCCAAAAATCTTCTTGGCAGAATTCCCCCTCCACCTCCCCGTCGCACCCCGTACCACTGTGCGCGTCAGATGCCAACGGCGGATGTGCTCCACCGACGATATCCGAGAGAGCCTCCACCCCCTTCTCGTTTTCCTCTTGGTTTTGTTGCTTCGGGCTCTCAAAGCGCCCCGTTCTTAACCGGTCAGCCGAATCGAAAATTTCTCAGCAGGACTGGCGGGGTGGAGTTCGTACAGTCGCAATCATGCCCCACCCCGGAAAGTTTTCTCGTTCCTCACTTTGGAATGATAGAAGAAGAAGGACAAACAGGGAAGCCACCGCAAACAGCTCACTTCCATTCAGCACCTTCCGAACAGCTCGAGGACTCCGAGTGTCCTCAACAACGTGCTGGGTATCCTGAATTCCCGAATAGTCGTCCTGATCGTCTTTACCGTGAATATGTAACAAGCTATTCGGAGTCAACAGTCGCCAGTTCAACTTCACTTTCCCCAATCACGCCAACAGCTTCGGATGGTGTGGAACGTGCAGCTGATTACAACCGACAACAAAGCTTCCTTGCTTCATCTTCACGGTTGACAGATCTGAGCAGCAAGGGAATACATCAGCCGCTTTTCAGCGATCAAAACAGCGCTTAATCTGCTCTGCGTTGTGCGAGTCCGATGACTCACTTGACTGGCTTGGCACTGGTAGTTTCGTCTTGTCTTCATGAATAGTACTATTGAATAATGTGACAAGTTGTCTTATCTTAATTTTTCTACCCGCTTCCTTGAGCAGTGAGCTTCTCTGCAATGCGTTCATGCCTATTTTCACAGGTACTCTCAGCACCATGTATGTTGCCGTGAAGTCTTTTATTGTCCTTTCCATATTTGTCTCTTAAGTGCAATAGCAACTGTAGAAGTGTGTTTTAGTGGCCGCACTCTCTCGATACGTTTTTGTTGCTATCGTCTATTGGTCGTCTTCTCTTCATCGGTTTTCATGGATTTTGTTCCAAGTGGCTTCTGACCTTCAGAAGGACCGTTCAACGTTAAGGCATCCCTAAGTCGCTGCTCAGACTCCTCCGCCTCAGTTTTCTCCTTCGCAATATTTTCGCAATATTTTTGTTTGCCCCGCAGGTGCGAAGACAAGTAGTTTTGTAGCGTTTGAGGTTCCTGAATCTGTTGCGAATTTTGGATTATGGTATGCGATCTGTTGCATCGACCTGCTGAAAGGAACCAAGCTATTAACGCCAATCAAGCGTGTTTCACACTAAAAACTGAATTTAAACAGATTTTCTCCACAGAGTCGTCTGAGCCAAATTTCACCTCTCCTCTTCTGCGCAATTCATTGGTCCTGCTCGCAATGAGTTCATGATTGTTTTTCGTGTATCGGTTCGTTGGCATTCCCTCTTATCAAGATTAAACACGTCGCCCTTCATCAAACCGATGTGTTCCATCAAGGGTGTCTGACACACCAAAATAAGTGTTTGAATTCTTTGAATCGATCATCACATTCGAAATCATATTAATGCGAACGAAAAGTTTCAGTAAAGAATGAAGTTAGAGGCTTTCAAGCTCTTGCATTAGGCTGATGATGAACTGAAGCTGCACCTCAACATCAACGATGTCAAAAGGTGGCACCTGAGATGGGATCATAATGAAAAGGATGAGGCCCGGAAAAATTTTGATAACTGGGTTGCACGAAACTGATGAAAAAATTGATAAAATTGAGTGGTGATGAGGGTAATGAGTACATGTACATGAATAACTGATGTGTAACTGTATCAAATCAATGGAAGTGTCATTGATACAGAATAAACGCACAAGCTTACGTGAACAAAAAGCGAATCAAAATTTTCTTCTGCCCTAGAATTCATTAGAGAAACGAAGCTGCAGAAAAAACATTTTTCTCCAATTCTGGACAAGAAAAGCCAGCGAATCAACTCACTAACACATATTGCAGAGAAAACGTCCCGGGTCCTCCGATATCTGAACAAACGGTGCTTACGCTCACTAGACACAATAATAGGTGTTGGTTCATTGAGACAGGGTGATATGAGCTCTCTCAGCGGGTGATAGGAGCTCTTAGCGGGTGATAGGAGCTCTTAGCGGGTGATAGGAGCTCTTAGCGGGTGATAGGAGCTCTTAGCGGGTGATATGAGCTATGAGCATTTTTGTCTGACTCACTGTTACTGAAAACTCGCGCTCCACGAGACGATCAAAGAGTTTCTGAAGTGCAGCTTTGAATTTCTTGATCATTTTTGCCAATGACTTACGGTTACATCTATACCAGTAGACAGAACGTATTCGAGCGGATACTCACTCACGATTTCTTCCCCGCAGGGAACGTTGCCGTCAACATCGGGACAAGAAAAGGTTTTATCTAAAAGAAAAGGTTTTACAAGCTTACGGATTGAGTCTCCTTACTGTTATATGCACATTTTTCAATCTTGAAACCCTTGGAGCTTTTATCCACCCCCAAGTGCAAATAAAAGACCTTCTCTAACGAAGACCATTCATGAATCAATTGCAGCCCCAAATCACAAGAAAAGAGGCACGCCATCAAACCAACCACCGACAAGCATCACTACACTAGATATAGTAGCTACTGCTAGTCACAGATGGAAGTTCATAAACCTCCATGAGGTGCTGATGAACATTTATAGACGTGTACTAACCGCCATCAGCGACTGTCTCTTCTTGCTCGGCGAAAAGTTGCGCTAGACCTTCGCTCACACCCTTCTCTGACACTTTTAACACAACAGGGGTCGAACATTTGGATTGAGTCGATAAGCGGTGAGCAAGAATCTCCGTGGGATTGGAAGGCACGTTGCAAAACGATGAGAAGCAAGTTAGAAAAAAGCGCATCACGAAAATTGAGGACCAGGTGAAAAACTAAAAAACATTTAAAATTGACGGACGAAGATTCTAACATCAAGTTCTTTGAACTGAACTCTAAGTGAACTAGATGATCAAGTGAACTAGATGATCAGGTGAACTAGATGATCAAGTGACTAGACTCCGATGC